TTATAACAACTTGTGCTCTAATTGTTTACCCTAGCCTGCCCATGGGACTTTTCTATGCGGATCAAAGTATTTAATTCTAGAATGTTACATCTTGTTTAGTTATAATGTGGAAGGAGATGGAAGAAAAATCAGTGATCAATTTTAAATTATTATACATTTCTAAGAACTTGTCTCACCTAAAAACTACCATCATTCATGACTGCCCTGACTTCACTTTTACTCCTGCTGCTATGTTTATTAGGCTGTGTGCTTGTATTCATGCCTAAGCAGGATACTAAAACTTCTCTCTAAAGCAAAATGTGAGTAAATTTTACATGTAAAACCACCTGTCATAACTCTAGCATTTCCTCAGGGCCGTGGGTATTGCTTTGAACTGTGTCTATATTTATGAAAGTGATTGGCTGACTCCAGGTCTGACAAAGCCCTTTCCTTCTGTTCTCAGCTCCTTTCTGTACTAGTAGGGGTAGAAAGGCACCCAGTAATCAACCCAGACAACTGCACAGACTGTCTCTGTGACCATAGAAGGTCAGTGGGCTGTGCTGATCTTTCTTATTGTTTAGGAACTTCTGTTATTATCAAATAATGATGATTTTGGATGCCACTCCCTGGAGGCATTCAAGGCCAGGCTGGACGTGGCTCTGGGCAGCCTGGTATGGTGATTGGCGACCCTGCACACAGCTGGGGGTTGGAACTGGAAGATCATTGTGGTCCTTTTCAAACCAGGCCGTTCCGTGATTCTGTGATTTTGGTTGTTACGAATTCAAGGGCTAGCAAGTTGGCCTAACGAACTAAGAGCTCTGTGATCTGAACGCACTCGTGAGCTCTCCATTCTCTTGTCACTCTGTGTCTGGGTTCATGAAGTGCAGCTTCTGTGGCTGCTCGGTGTTTGAAGAGGCAGGGTATGTACTGTTTCCCAGATTATTTATTTCCTGGCACAGCACTGGGATTTGGGTCCACGGTGGCCGGCGGTGTTTGCAGTGTCTGAGCCTTACTCGCAGAGATGAGGTTCCCCTGAATGCTTGGAGCAGAAGCTGAGAGATCTGTCTGGCCAGGGACTGCTGCAGGGCAGGCAGGGGGACCCTGGGCTCTGGAATGTGTATCATCTCCTGCTCAGGTAAAGTCACCTTCAGTGCATATTATTCTTCGGGCTTCTCTAGAAAGGCATTTTTAAAGAAGACTTAAGTCTGTGCAGATTGGGGTTAGGGTTGGGGATTCATTGTTCTGCAGCAGCCACCACAGATAAGGCAGGAGCTGAGAGAGTTGCAATGCATAACAGCCTTTCTGGGATTGCGCTGTAGTAAAAATACATGCTTGCAGACTGTGTGCAGTTAGTGCAGTAATGCATCTAATCTGTCCTTAAAATGGAACAAACAAGGGGCTTTCTTCCTTCAGCTTGAGATTTTAATCATTTGGGGCATTTCATAACTTGTAAAGCGTTTCTGTATATTACTTAGATACTGCATGTACTAGTGCTATTATAGGTACTAATATTACTTCTTACAAGTAGCATTAAAAATATGAGTAACAAAGTAAAGCCAAGTTGTGGACTTTGAATTAATGTAATTTAACTTCACTGTTGATATGCCCTCTGATTGTGTGAGAAGTGAATTGAATTGACATATCTTCTCAAGAAAAGGGCCTGGGCTTTGGCCCGGCAAGAAACTTTCTTTTTACTTTTGTTTCATTGAGTTACAGCAGCGAGTTATATCTGCACTCCATCATGTTACAAGCTAACATTTATTTGCAGAAACCTGATTAAGTCTGTAACAATGCGGAAGATAGTGATAGCTGTAATTTCCATTCCATTAGGGCTTTACTTCTTTTCAATTGCATGTTTAGAATTACGCTGTCAGAGCCTATCTTTAATGTTGATAGTAACAGTTCCTGAAGCTGTATGGGTACTAATTTCAAAATTAGTTAGGAAAAAAAAAAAAAGAAAGCGAGATTGAAACTGTAGAAAGTCAAGTGAGCGAATCAGGGTGCCCAGAAGTAAATCTGCAGCTTGAGTACAAGTAGCAGTACTATTTTAATACAGTTATGCATCTAAAAAAAAGTTTTTAGAGCATCTTGATTCTTCTTGTTTTAGTGACTGACACACTGCATACAAAAGCTTCAGGATTCATAGTTAAAGAATCATAGCATCACAGAATGGTTTGAGTTGGAGAGGACCTGTAAGGTCCACCTGGTGCCACCCCCTGCAATGCACAGGGACACCCACAGCTCCATCAGTGCTCAGAGCCCATCCCCTGCCCTGCAGGGACCACCCCCAAGTCTCAGCCCATGCAGTGCCTCACTGCCCCCATTGTCACACACTTCTTCCTCTTTTAGATCAAAACCATTTCTCCTTGTCCTATCATAACAGACCCTGCTCAAGAGTCTGTCCCCTTTCTTACAACCCCGCTTTAGGTATTGAAAATTTGCCAGATTTTGTAACTGAGAACTCATATAGCTGTTTATATTTTCCTTTTTTGTAGTATATGTATATCCAATTCAAATAATGTAAATGTGATGTTATACTTTTGTTGTAAGCTTTTGTTTAAGGCCAGCTCTCTATGCAGGTAGCAGGAATCCTCTCTTTTTGACACGTTAATATTTCAAAATACCTTAAAATAATCTCTGAAGTTTTTTAATAGCCAAAGGATTTAGTTTGAGTCAGCGGCATTTTGTTAGTCAGTAATGGTACTGTATTCCGTTAGAAATTAATTAGTAGGTTGTAATGTTTCTATCTAGTATCGGGATTGTTTTATTCTGGTGGTGTGTCCTTGTTGCAGGGCACCTAACCTTGAGTCCTTGGCAGCAGTGTCCGCTGCATTCTCTTCTTTTCCTCCTCCATATTAAAAGAAAGCAAACCAAAAACCAAAAGCAAGCTGACTGGGTCACGGGGAGGTGTACCCATCAATTAGATGTGTGACAGTGTTTTCTGTTGGATGGACTAATGTGTCAAGGAGATGGGTAGGACCTCATGTTTGTGTTTTTGACAAATCAGCAAATGTTTAATCTCTGGATGTGCAGTATCTCATAAATAATGCAGCAGTCACTGAACCAAAACGGAGCTGTGCCAGGAGGATCTCGCTGTTATAGAAGCAAAAAGACAAAATGAAATGGCTTTATCCTTTCCCACTTCTTGAGAAGTCTGTGTGTAGTTGTGGGCAGCAGCTGCTGGGCGGCCTTGGGCGTCTCGTGGCTGTTCAAGAGCCACCTCTGCTCTCCTGCACTTCAGGCCTGGGTTTTGAGGTACCGCAGTCAGGATTGTTGGCACTCACTGTCAGTTTGGAGCATGGTGCAATTGGTGCTAATTGCAGCAGAGTTTGTGAGCTGTTCTGTAAATCAGACTGCAGCTGTCTGAGGAATATGGCATGGGAGGCACGGATTATCTCACAGGAGCTCTGTGCCAGGGAAAAGTGTCCTGAAATCAGTGTGTATAAATACCTGAAGAGTGAATGCAGTGTTGGAGCCGAGCTCATCTCAGGGCTGCCCCTGCTTTGCCGGCACCTGGCTGAGTCCTGGCACAGAGACCCAGGGACTGTGGGGTGCTTTCCTCGGGGATCTCCAACCCCCAGTGGAGCTGGGCACTGCTCTGGGTCGCCCTGCTGAGGGAGGGACCAGAGGGACCCAGAGGGCTCTGCCAGCCTTGGCCGTTCCAGGATTGTGGAGTTCTGTGGATGCACAGGAAGCTGTCTGCCGTTTCTGCAGGCTGAGCAGCACGCCCTGTATTGCCTTCATTCTGGAGGTAGCGTTTCAGCTCTTGTCTGTTTTGGGACCCGGGTGCTTGTGTCTGTGAAGTAAGGGGTATGCCTAAGTGGTATCCTGCACAAGGATGCTTTCTTTGATGATGAATGTAATAATAATCCTCGAATAAAGGCTTAAGATCTCAGAAATCCTCAGAACCGTGGAAAACACTGAAGTGTCTGTAAGGAAGGGATACTAATATTTTGCTAAATATGGATGGGCTTATTATGCTTTTAAAATAAATTTGCTGAGATGGGAGTTTGTATATACGGTACAGATTATTTCTTTGTCTGCAAGCTTTAATTGATCATAAATGACTCATTAAAGCCATTACAGAATTCCTTATTTGAATTGAGTCACTGTTTGAAAGACAGGTTCTCAGGACTCAATCAGCAAAAGGAGTTATGATTGTACATCCTACCTAAATCAAAATTATGAACGTCTAATATTTTATTGTCAGTGGTAACTCATTTCCCATTGTTTGTTTTTTTGTGGGCAATAAACTCTGCTTCAGTGTATACTTAGCAACACAGCAGTCATGCCAGCTTCAAGAAACTTGGCATGTATTCAAGCATCTTAACCCTCTGTTAAATACTTTTATATATTTTTCTCTTAAGGTCTGTACACAGAAACGTACTTGTTTCTGTGTGCTTTGCAGCAGTACTGATCGTAGCACTTGCACTCCAGGTGTGACTTGCAGAGCTGAACGTTCTGTACTGTTCAGTTGTTGTTGTCGCATCGCTTACTAATAGGGAAAGCTGTATAAGCATGTATAAATATTCCCCACACTATTGTCAGATGTTTAGTTTTCTGCCTGCTCTGCAGTTGGCGATCATTTGCTATGCACACCCCGCTCTGAAGATGGACATCCTGTAGCTGGCTCTCCAGGGCTATTGAATATCTTAACTCTAGTATTGTTTCTGCAGTATGCAGCCTCCAAAAGTTGTGAAAGACCTGTGGGGAATGCGTCCTGTGTTCAGAAAGGCACTTGTCTGTTTTACTACCTGCATCCATCAATTTGGCATTTCTGAACGTACGCCTGCTTATTGTCCTTACCATGCTTAGTCAGCTGTTAACAATCTTCTTTATAACTATGTATTAAGCATCAGAGAAATAGCTAAGGAAGGTAATATTTTTATAGATACTATGAAATCTAAAAATATATATATTTTATTTATTATTTGATTATTTTTTTGTGTTGGAAAGCGTGTTGCTTTGGTTTCAGTAAGCCAAAGTAGATGTTTTATACTTTCCTATGTTGTGTTTTACAGGCTCTAGGAAGTTTTTACTTTCTTCATGAATCTTTGAAAAACATCTACCAGTTTGATTTTAAAGGTAAGCAAAGGAATTAAATGCTATTAATTGTCAACTGGCTTTATTCATGAAGGCAGTGCTGTCATCTTTTCCTGAAAGCAGTGTCTAGCAGTTTTTCTATGATATGCAAATTTCTGTATAATTCATACAAGTCCATTGATGATAGGCGTTCCTTTTCTTACCTTTTATAGATCTCTTATAAGAAGTCAATGGACTGGCTGCAGGTTGAAAACCGGTGCATTAATCATTCCCATGCAAAAGGGACCTTTGGATCCATAGAGATCCCTGATGATTTCAAAAGAATTCTGAATGACCACAGGGTTCTTCCATGTAGACCAGATACAGGACCGAGACCTTAAATGTCCAACAGCGATGGCCATTTTGCAATGCAGCTGAGGTAGATTTATGGCTCAAATTACTTCAGAGCAGCACAGGTCGGTAGGAAAGTGTCATTGTTTCTAACCCACATTGATCCATCAGGTTAGAAGTCTTGCTAAATCTCAGAAGTTTAAAAGTAATGTTAGGCAAGTTACACTGTGTATTAGAAATATTGCAGACAATTATTGAATGCTTCCCGAAGGTGTATATAGCAAAGATTATGTAAAATTTATGTTATTTCAGTTGGGAACAGAAATGTTGTGAGCTTCATTTAGCCTCTTGAGCTGAATCACATTAATACTACATCTAGCATCCCATTAACTTGAGACACTGCTAAAACCTTGATGACTATAGAGTGAACTAGTTTTCTTAAATATATGGATACATTATTTTTATTCTCAGTCAAGACAAATTGTCTCTGCTCGTATAATTGTGGCAGCAGAATCTTTCTGTCTTGAAATATTTGAACAGTAGTTCCACATATATAACAATTAAAGACTTAGCCAGCATAAGTCCATCTGTCATTGCTGATATCAGTGCCTAAGGAAAATTTTAGATCTAATATTATAGGCAGTTCAAAGCATCTTTTATTTCTGAGAGAGTGTGTTGGAGAACTCAACAGTGATGTAGGGACTTCAAGGAGAGATCAGCCTCAGGGTCTAGCCTTTTCTCCCATTAGCAGACACTGGGTAATGATAGAGATGCTCTTTAGTGGGTAAACTGTGTGCAGAGTTGAAATACTGGAGGAAGTTGGCATTGCATGTGAAGCTGGGTGTCTGAGATGTTGCTTCGTCCTAGAACTGAATGGTCTGTTGGTCCACTGTGCTTATGAAGCAAAGGAATCAGTAGATTCCGTGGTTTTTATTTACGATGGCAACATTATAACTGTTTATTCATTTCGCCACATGAATGGCTTAGTATATCAAAATAGATGAGCTGTATCTGCACCCCTTGTTCCTGATAGGTACTGCTGCAATTGCATCGTACCAGTGCTGGGGAACTAGCAGTTTCTCTCTGAAACTAAAACTCCCTCCTTCTGGCCATAGATAGCTGTGTCACAGGTGGCTGTGTCACTCTAGAGACATCTGACAGAGCAAAATGACAGTTGTGTAAGGAGAAGAAATGCTTTCTGGCTCTATTCGTTATTATTCAACAGTTTAATTGCTACTGTAGAGTTTTTAAAAGAAAGTTTAAGAATTAAAAAATGAGAAACATGAATGAAGGCAAAACTGGAGGGAAAAGTAATCAGTATATGAGAAATAAACAAGTACTTGTTTCAGAAAATAAACATTTTTAATGTTAGGTGTTTCATTCTGCTCATCAAAATGTATAATTACTCTTTAGCAAAGCCTGGTGAGGTGTGAACCATGCATAAAAAGATGTGTTTGGGCCCAATTATACCTTGGAAAGAAAAACTCCTGAGAAGAATCTAAGGGAGGCCATGCTGCACTGAAGTGGTGCTGGAAGTCACCTGCTGATCCCTGAACAGAATCAGTCTCCCAGTGTAATGTTGGTAAAATGTCACCCTGAAGGATTCCATTAGAATGTATCTCTCATGACTGTTGAGATTTTCACAGTGCATTGAAGTCTTAAACCAGAGGTAAAATCCAAATGGATACATTTCTCTGGGCCAAAGTCACTATGAAATTCCAGTTCTACTCAAAAGCCAGCAGAAAATCTGTGTTTATAAACAATTTGATATTCCTCTAACGTTACTGCATATTTTCAGAATTCGTTTCATAGCTGAATGTGACTGAATACAGTCTGTGGAAGAGAAGATTGCTTCTGGTCTTGAGTTCTTAAGAGGAGATACTTGAGTTCTAAAGCGAGAATTTTTTCCTATGGCCCTCGTGCATTATGGCTACAGCACAGGACGTGTCGAACTGTTTCTACAGCTGTCAGACACTTCAGAGGTTACTTACAGTTTAACTACTGAAAAGATGCTTGCTCTGGAGAGCCATCGTCCAGCAGAGGGTTTTGCTGACTGGAGTGTTGGGGTGATTTTGATCTGCCTCTTGTCCTCAGAGCAGTGCTGCAACTTGGGTTAACAGAACAGATCTAGTTTACTCTGGAGTGTTTTTATTTGGAGGTACATGAGAAGGCATGCTTCTTTTCTGCTGGTTTGGTTTGTCAGCAGTCGTGTAAATGAATCGCTGGTTCATAGTTAGCACTGATGTTAATACAAGTTGATGGTAAAATGCCTCCTTTCTGCCAAGTGCTGCCTTTTATTTAGGTACTCACAGCAAAAATCTTCAGTCCTTTCATTTCTGCCTAATGTGTTCTGTGTCCTGAATGACACCAGGATCTTTTTGCTGGTAATGTTAAACTTACTTACAGGTACATCTGTCTGTGATCTACTTAGAATGATGGCATGTGAGTTTATCGGGATATTTGTTTGGGCTTCCTAGTGGAGCCAGATTTCCAAATTGATTGTCACATAAGGAACAATGCTTAATTTTATTTTGCCCTGAAGATAAATTCATAGATTACAATTAATGTTTCCTCTGATTATATCAACTACTTTATTTAGACAACTTAAAGTGACAAGTTTTTGTATTGATTGGTGTTCTCACCAGATACCCAGTAGAACCAGTATCTTTTATTTTACTTTTTTTAACAAATCCATCTCAAATCAGTTCTTCAGGAGGAATAGGCTGATCAGCCCGTGGGCAGCTTGTGTCCTGTTAGCAGCCCACAGGCACTGCTGGGTCCGCTCCGCTAAACAGCCAGCCCAGCAGAAGGCTTAGCTGTGGCCACACAATGCGTGGAGGAAGACTGTCAATGTTGTTGATTTAAAGCAGAGATATCCTGAATGACTGCGTAGTGAAGTAAAAGTTGTGGTTACTAATGTGTTAGTCAGGTGTTATTTAGCTACGTGGGCTTAAAATCTGAAGAGAGTTGCTAAATAAACCAAGCAAATAGTCATTACTCATAAAAGAATTTGTGTTTTCCACCTTAATAGGTATTGTATTGTTTTTCCTCTTAATTAACCAGTGTGAATGGTTGGATGCTAGCTTAGGATGTAAACATACATCTCTTAGAAGAGCCATGTCAGGAAGTTAGAGTACGTGGAGACCTGATCTCCAACACTGTGCAGTGCTCTGAATAGTAAAAGTAACAGTGCCACTACCTGTATAGCTTGAGAATGCCAGCTATAAGCAGCCAGATGTATATGCTTCAGTGGTCTGTTTTTTTTTCTAAGAAAAACTCAGTGTTTATGTTTGCTAAAACCCTGCCTGTTATGTAGCTGCCACTGCTCTTCGGATGGGTACTGTAAGATACTGTAAGATGTTAAGTTCGCTTTGTATCTTCTTCTAGCTAAGAAGTATAAGAAGGTTACTGGGAAAGAAATCTACTCAGACACTTTAGAAAGCACACCCATGCTGGAAAAGGAGAAATTTCCACAGGATTATTTCCCTGAGGTACGTACAACCTATAACGTATTTACAGTCATTGTGTGAATTTGGAGTTCGAATGGAGTTCTTTGTGTAGTAGGAAATGCTTGTGAAGGATGGAGACAGTGATGAAAAGTCTTGTTTGTACATTTAAAACCAAAGAAACAGCAAACCGTGCCAATTGCAAATCTGTTTCAGGGAGACTTAACTCCCTGACAGGGTGAGACATGGCTCTGAATGGATCCCATTTGTATTCAGCTCTGTAATTGTGGCTGCAGTGCTGCTGGTTTCTCTTCAGCCCTGCTAGATACTGTCCAGTCACTGCAAGTATGTGGGGATAGTTTCTTACCAGCACAAGGGTATGTGAAACTTTCAGGTATTTGTGTGGTCCTCTCACATGCCCTGGCATTCCCTTCTCTGGCTGTTCTCCTAACAACTGGGGAGTGCTGCGTGTCTGAACTGGAGGTTCTTTCAAACTCAGAAACACAAGATAAGCTGCCAGCTTTCTTCCATTGCACTTGCAGGTGCAATTCCACATGCAGCTGTTGTCCTTGTCTGCAGTTCTTTTATTTGAAGTTGACTTCAATTTGTTCGTTCTTAATTTTGTGAGAACACGTCTGTGTTTAATGATTGTTGTTGACTACAAACTGGGTGAATATGTTTGTTGAATTCCTGTTACAGCTGTGGATCTAGCTGGTACACTGCCACTTTAGTCTTAGAAAGAACTAAATAGACTTTAAGAATTAGTTCAGAATTTGTACTTATCCACACTTAGAGATATTGAGATAGTACAAGTGTGCTTGGAGTAAGGTTGCAGAAATAGTTTCAACCTGATGGGATGCTGGTTATTCTTTCTTTTCTCGACTTTGATATTAACTTTATTTATTTACTTTCCTCTCTTCTGGAAAGGAAAGTATCTTTAATGTAGTTGTATGCATTTTGCTTCTTCTAATAAACATCTCACATACTCTTTTGGAGTTAGGCATTGTGTCATTGTGAGGGAGCTTCAGGCGGTTACTCAGATATTTCTTTTGCTCCTCTATCAGCAAAAAGCTGCAGCAGTGCAGGTGATTGAGAGCATAAGCAGGATGCATGCAGTGCTGCAGTGATTTCCTCGTAGTGCTGAGAGCATCAAACAGCAGCACGAGCGCCGCTACCGCACTTCACAGCAAGAGGCCAAGTTACAGATTGTTCTTCAGTATCTGTGAAGAGTCATTCCCACCGTTACTTCACAGCTGCTCTTCCACCTAAGACTGGCATATCTGTAACTGACCCAGCAGTTTTTAGTTTTTAATTTCTGCCTTTGATGTGAACTGATCTTTGCAGTCCTGTGGGGGAATGGAGGCTTTCCCACCCACACAGCGGAGCAGAGCCTGGATCTGTTTCTTGTGGCAACTCAGAGCAGATGTTCCCATGTTTGGTGGTGGAGCAGAACCTTCTGTATCTGTGTATGGTGCAGCACTGCTTTAGGTACAAGAGTGGCAGCATGAGAAGCAACTAAATACCATTTTGAGATCTGTTGCCTTCCTACTCTAGTGTTCCTGGTCACTGCGTTGTCATCCCATTTTGCATCGTGCTCAGCAGCAAAAGCTGTAGGGAGAGGGAAGGGCTCCTGAAACAGCTGCTGCCTGCCCCAGCAGCACTCTGCATAACAAGGTGCCGCATCCCACAGCATGGCTAACCATCACTGCTGGTGGGAAGGGGAGTCACTGTCTTCACCTTTTGCTTCCACACAGCCCTTGCTTTTAGCTTTCATTGCACTGGCTGTACCTCAAATCCTTCTTTCACCACCTCGTTTTCTTCCCTACCCTGCTGAGCAGTGGGGGAGCAGCTGCACGGGCCTGGCTGCCATCGTTGTCAAACCGCAGTCACTCCTCACTGATACGTCAGCATATCTCTGCAGCACCTGCTCTGCTCTGCAGTGTCTCGTGCAGTGCTGCTGGGCTCGTGGAGCAGCGCGGGGCCTTCATCTACTTTATTTCAGAACTTCACACAATGGGGAAGTGCCAAGGGCTCCCCAGGACTGCAGTCATGCGGACAGCAGAGGCACTGATATTTGCAGTTCTGTGGCTTTCTGTGGTCGTTCAAGCTAGCATAGTTTTTGTTTGACTTGAAAGATTAGAAAACAACTGTGATGGTTTTTACAATAGGCTGGTTTTCTTTTGGGATGGAAGAGCAGGGAGTGTCTCAAGCAGACATAGCGCAGCAGCAGTGAACAAACAGCTGACATGGCTTTGCTTCTCCTGCACACATTGTATGGTATTTTCAAAAGTAAAATTAAACCCTGTGATTACCTATTACTGGAGCCAAATGCTGCTAGTAATGCTACTAATTAAAAAAGACCAGAAAACAGTGTGTACTTTGAAAATAGGAGTTGACACATCAGAGTGCACGCGCGGGTATCACATCTACATGCTCTTCTATGTTTTAGCCAGGCTGCTCATATCACATTTACAATGTTTTTGTATGAGAAATGGTTTAAGACTGATTTCTTTTCTCTTTATTACTGCCGCTTAAGGATGATCTAAAAGTAATTACAATGATTGAGGCATAATGCAATTCAAAATAATTACAGCCCACTGCCTATAAAACTAACAAAACTTTCTGTCCTGATTTATGGGTCCTCTTGGCTAGGCATGAGCCTCAAATGATGCCTCTGGGAGCAACACTCCAGATAATGTTAGGCCATTTAAAAAAAAAGCAGATTTGTGTAGTCTATCAGGCCTGAGTAATTTTTTTTTTCCCATAGTGAGAAATTGGTTGTTATCATAGATCACAGATACTGCTCAAAGCTCTTATGAAAGATGAATTAATTTCACTAATGCTTTAATGCAAACCTTTCATGGAGAAGGCTGTATGGTGATAACCTTACTGCAGGCTCTCCTTTCTCAGTGATGATTTATGTTGTCTTTTAGTAGATGAAACTGCCCGTATTCACAATCCATCTGCTGGCTAAAGGAATCCTATTAACAGAGGATCTGGGAAGAGACTTAATATTGTGAGGTGAAAGATGTGGTATCCCCTGTCTGGGACATGAAGTTGGAGGGCTTTTTTCTGTTTTAAAATGTTGATACGTCTCTGAGAGAGCACAGATGATCTATGTCATCTCTGCCTGTTTTCGTACCAGTTTACAGATGGCTGGTCTGCTAGTGAGCATTTGTTAAAGTCAGCGTACAGAGCGTTTCTTTAAAGTCTGTAGTATGAAGCCGTTTTCTCTTTCCTCCTTCCTGGGACATAGTTCTTCTTTAAATTCTGTTTCCAAGATTTCCTTTTTCTTTCCAAACGGTCTACTTGAGAATATCAAAGCACATCAGTGACCCAGAATTTCTGAGGCTGTTGTTCAGCTGCAGTATATGTATATGTAAGATGAAGGACCGCATTTTTATATTTAAGAAGCTAAACTGTTTCAGCTTCTGGGTTGTGTTAGGTTCGGAGCTTGCTGACTTTTCCTTTCTTAATGTTAAATAAATGAATTATTAACATTAAGTAAGTGAATTATTCATTGAAGCTAAAGTAATTAATTGCTTTCGAGCTGTTAACATCTAACGGTAATTTACGGATTAGAATGGGGAATATACGAATTGCACATTAACACAAATGCCATTGTGCATACAGAGGCATAGGTGTCCTGGCTTTATCCAGCCTGGGATGAATAGTACATTCCTCAGATCTCCAGCATGTGCTGCAACACCTCCCTGGCTTCCTGTGCTGCCTTTCTCTTGTGCTGCTGCTTTTGCATTAGGCCCAACCCATCACGTTTCCATCCACCACTATTGCTTTTGTAATTATTTCAAATCGTATGTTCCAATAGTAATGTAATTTTACTGTATAAATATGTCCTAAAAAAGGTCTTAATTGAATGGAAATGGGATCAAACGCTGAGCTAGCCTGATCCTGACAATAACTGCAAACACACTGTGGGATCTGATCTTGTTGTTTCAGACAACTCATGTAGCACTGCTGGGCCTGGCAGTCCCATGAGTGGCTCTCCTGTTATCACCTTGCTGCCCTTGCCTTAATAATATGAAATTTATTATTGCTACCCCTTACTACTGTGGCACTTTCAGAAAGTTATAGTTAAAATGAGTTACAAAACTACTATTGTATTTTGGTTTGGGGGTCTTAAGATTTAATTCCATTGTATATACTCCTCTCGACCCCACGTTTTCTGTTTGAGAGAAGACAACTCCTATACATTTAAACGTGTTGGAGAGCTTAGTGAAACACAGGAGGAAAAAAAGACCTTGAAGATCATGTAGTTCCAATCCTCTGGCTATAGGAGGGTTGCCAGCCATTGTGCCAGGCTGCCCAGGCTCCCATCCAGCCTGGCCTTGATTGCCTCCAGGATGGGGCACCCACAACTTCTCTGGGCAACCTGTTCCAATGCCTCACCAACCTCCGAGTAAAAATTAATTTCCTAACATCTAACCCAGATCTCCCCCCTTTTAGTTTAAAGCCATTCTTTCCCGTCCTGTCGCTATCAGACTGTAAAGAGTCAATCCCTCTTCTGCTTGCAAATTCCCTTCAAGTACTGGAAGGCCACAATGAGATCTCCTGGGAGCCTTCTCTTCTCCATGCTAAACAAGCCCAACTCCCTCAACCTGTCTTCATAGGAGAAATGCTCCAGCCCTTTGATCATCTTTGTGGTCGTCCTCTGTTCCCACTCCAACATTTTTCCTATACTAGAGGCCCCAAGCTTGGACATGGTATTCCAGATGGGACCTCACAAGGGCAGAGCAGAGGGAACAGTCACCTCGCTCTCTCCCTGCCACCATCCCACTTTTATTGAAGCCTAGAATACTGTTGTCCTTCTGGGTTGCAAGTGTACGCTGCTGGCTCATGTCCAGCTTTTCATCCATTAGGACCTCCAAGTCTTTCTCCAGAGGGCTTCTGTCAATGACTTTTTCTCCTCATATCTGTCCTAATATCTGGGGTTGTCTCAACCCAAGTGCAACACTTCGCACTTGGCTTTATTAAAATTCATTAGATTTTCATGTGCTCCCTTTTCGAGAGTGTCCAGGTTCCTC